TGTAATTAATTTATTTAAATAATTTCATTTTAATTGACACAGTAAAATCATTTTTCTTTATCCAAGAATATAATAAAGAAACAGTACAAAAACAAACTGGTAGGTCAGAGCATTTTAGGACTTGAACTTACCCTGGATAAGCCAGACTGAGTAGTTGTAGGTTTAGCTCTAATCACAGTATCAGGTGAATAAGACTACAAATATCAGTTCTATGGGAGAAAATTGCAGAGAGTGCATATGGGTCTGTATTTCACGGGTCTGTAGTTAAAGCTCTGATATAAATTCTATTGACTGACTTACTGTGAGATTCTGGCTATCCTACATTCTCATTTTTTAAATGATCTCAAGTTGAAAGAGATTTATTTAGATCCTGACTTTGAATTTTTAAAGACACATTATGATAATACTGTTTAAAACATGGTGTTAGGACAAAAGCCCACCATTCTCTAAATGTGAATTACCTATTCCAGTATTGCAAATGTCACACTCAAGAGATATGGGTCATCATAAACATATTCTTTTATGAAGTGAGTCTAATTCTCCAGTAGTTCCTGAACCAGCAATTTTGTCATTTGCATTTCAAAACAGAATTGTAACAATAGAATTGAAATTTCGCAGGTCTGAATTTGCCACAGAAAATCCTTTGTAGCCTTTGTGATGGTTAGCTTAGCTGTACAAACAAACACGCTCTTGACCCCAGAGACTTTCACTCTCATAAGTGAAATGGTATCCCATAGATACACACCATTTTGATGAAAATCAATCCCCTGTCATCTCACAATTTAGCAGTCTTGGGAGTCTTTTTACAGCCCAAAGATTTAAGAGCAAGCTGTTGAGAAAATGTACTCTACCTTCACATTGTCTGTTTTTTATGTTTGTCTGAAATCCAGGCTTACAGCGACAGAAAACAGATGTTTTTATTTGATTACAATATGCATCATCTCCACATGGATTCACATTATCTTCACAGGTATATGCAGTGGAAGCTAGGATTTAAAAATATAATCAAAACTAATATAATTCTAATTCCTGAAGTGGGAGTTTACTTTTTTAAAAAAATTGAAATGATATTTCTTATTCCATAGATAATTCTTTTATATGGTCTTCTCTTCATGTAAGCCCTCATTTCTTATAAAAGTATAGAAATAGACAAAAACTCAACTTATTTACATTAAATATCGTTTAGACCAACCTGCCAACAGCTGATATTTGCAGCTGTTGTCAAGCTACACTACTTTAGAAAAGGAAGTAAGAATCAGTGATTCTAATGCCAGGGTATCTTTACAATGATACCATATACGAGTGCTATATCTTTCTCTAAGAACCAAAGCATTTTCTATTAGCTACCTGGAGACTTGGGCATTTATTGATCCCTTAAACTTAACATTCATGAACTCAATCAAGGGCATTACTTTACTCAAGTGGGTAGGCTGAATCAACAGTTTTAATTTTTTTTTAGTCTGGACACACATATGAGAGAAACATTTGAATGTGCAAGGTGCTCCAATGGTTGGTCATGGGTGGCAACACTATTAGGACAAAGAGTTACTTGTCATTTCCAGCATAATCTTTGCAATTTCATTGCTTTACTTCTCATTCAAGAAAACATTTTAGAATCATATAAATGAGGGGGACATTATTGTAGGGATAACATTGTATTATCTCTAAGTTACTTAAGCAAATCATATTTTCAAGAAACGTGAGACTTTTATCATCAGAATTGTAACCATTATTAATCCCCACTGACTCAAATATTTTACAATTAGTTAAAATACATCAGTGGAATGATATCATGGTTTAGATGTATGTGATCATATCCTGGTACAGTTTGCTTCCTCACTCAATGAGGAACAACTTAGATGCATAAATGAGAAAAAATAAAAGATCCCAAAATAGGAAGTATTTTATGAGTTTTATAAGAAATCTGAAAATAGGATCATAAATTTACTTTTCTTTACTATGGAAAATCAAACATCAAGAATTAAAGATGAAATTATAAGCAAACAGGATCTAATAACTCGAGTATCACAGCACTTTGAATAAAATCTTAATGTCTTCTATAAGAATAACTCAGTAATAGACAAATTAAAAATTTTTAAATAGTGAATACATTATTAAGACTTGTACCATCACCCAAATATTATCGTTTATAAAATTCAAAAATACTAAATTAGTATTTGCTGACATTAAAGTCTGTGTTTAAATATTGAATTCTCAGATTCAGCTCTAATAAGGATACTCATTACAAAATCAACCTTATCTGCCTCACATTTTCTGAAATAAACTTAAATAATGTTCTAAGGTTGCTTTGGCAAAGGCTTAGAAAAGAAGGCATTGCTTAATCACATTTCGAAGAGCAATCTTACCAACCAGTAGTAAAGAAAGTTTCAGTCATGTTTAAGCAGAAATTGGACTTGTGCGTCACTGTGCTTTGTTTAACGGAAAACAGACTCACGTATTCTGCAGCCTTGTTCATCTGAACCATCTCCACAGTCATCGAGTCGATCACACTGGAGGTCCATGGGAATGCATTTTCTGTTACTACAAGCAAACTCATCCTTTTTACAAGGCCTTGCTTTGTAAGTCAGCTTACCTATGGAGTCATTTAAAAATGATTAGTGCTTCACAGAATCAAAACAAATTTATTGAGCACATAATATCTTTAAGATTTTACTGAGTACTGTGAAAAACATGGGTCCACAACCCTTATTTGAAGTTGTTGAGGCCAGATGAAAAAAATTTAGAAATTTTTGGATTTTAGAAAAGTGACGTTGTATTTACCCTACAGAGAATAACACCTTATTTCTGTAGGAAAATGTCTGAATAGTCACCCTAAGTGGGATATTTGAGATTTTTTTTTTTTAAGTGATATAAATGTCTCAAATGAGGTTAGGTCAAGTTTTGTCTTTGAATAATTTTGTTGCATATTTAAGTAAAACTACTCATGTTAAAATTTCAGAATGGTGAAAAAGGGATTGTGTACACATAAAAACAATCTATGTAAGCCCCCTCCCCTCAAGGAACTATTTTAACTAGGAGCATTTTTAAACCACTATGTTGTTTCTCTCATGTGATTAGAATTTTCTGGAATAAAGTTCCTAGTCAGGACTCTGGATAAAGCCACATAACTCTACTATGCAAATGAAATGTTAATAGATTATTTTTATACCCTGTCAGAAGAGCAAGTGCCTAAAAATAATACCTTCAGATATCCATGCAAAAAAATACATATTTTTTGAATTTTTGAGCACAAATTATTACAGTATCTTATATCAGTTGCTGAGTTATTTATTAAACAAATTTACCACTACAGTGATCTTCATCTGAGTTGTCTCCGCAGTCATCAATACCATTGCACATTTGCTCAGACTGCAGGCAAATTCTGTCATTTCTGCATCTGTGAGGTCTTGTGGGTGGGCAAAGAAATTTGACTGAAATAAAAAAAAGAAAATGAAAAGCAGCTCCTGTGGGTACACTGACTTATGAATAACATACTTCCTTTGTGTTTCTTTTTTTTGTTCTTTTAGAATCCATTATCTACCTTTTCTAAATATATTTTGTTGTGAAAATTGCCTACCTGCAGACACTAGAAAACTGTGTGATCATGGAAGCTTATGATCCCAGTTATTTGTATTAACTACATAAAAGAGTGCACAACTGAGGATCTTAAATGAAGTAAGAAAGAGCCAGACTTCACGGTTTCATTTCCAGATGGCTTATCCTAGCCGACTTCACTTGGTGTACCAAATTAATTTATACCTACAATTTATACAACATGGCAGGACACTTAGCTATCTCAAAGGACAATTTCACACAGCACAGAGCTTGAGCAAGCATATGTTACAGGCCCCAAATTGAAAGTAGGTCATTCAGTGGGAAAAAAAAAAATGTCCCAACAATATTATAGCTGGGTGTCTTATTTTCTGTAAACAGAAGTTGAGATATGTATTTGAGTGATTTTGATTATTCATTTTTAATGTGTGTCTGTGTGTCCATGAGACTTAAAGAGACAGCAATGAAAGCCAGAAAATTTTATGTTTGACCTTTCTATCTACCACTATCTTACCTGAAGACTTCCACCTCTAAAACAGGAAACATCTGTAATTAGTCTTCATCCTTACATGTGGAATTCTCCAGAGTTCTGCCCTTGGTCCTCTGATGTTCTCACTCTTGAATTCTTTGCTTAGATATTCTCATTCATGCTCATTGATTAACTTGCCACTACACCCTGAAGACTGAATTCTCTATCTAGTGTAAGCATCTCACAATTGATTATAGGAGATCCCCTCAGGAACTGCAAATTTAACAAGTTTATTGCTCAATTCTTTGTCACTTTCCCCAACCCTCTTCTCCAAATTATTAGCTTTGTCTTATTTCCACAGTTCAGTTAGTGGCACATCATAGCCAGAAATCTAGGTTTATTTTCAATGCATTCCTCTCATTGACCATCAACTCTGAGTAGTCACCAAGTACTGTTGATATTTTCCCCAAACTTGCCCACTTCCGTCCAACCTTACCAGTGACAATCGCAATAGCTCAGCTCTTCATTATCTCTTACAGAGAGATATCCTAAATGTTGCTCCTTTTACTCCCTATCTTCAGATCCTCAAAATCCATGAGAAAAATCAAACACATTAATCTGATCATATCTTCATATTATCCATTGCCTTGAGAATACAATTTAAGATACTATGCCTAATAGACTTGTCATCATCTTGTCCACACCACTCCTACAGACTAATCCCTTGACCCTCTAAATATTCTAGCAATGCTACTTTATTACCATTCCTTAAATATGCTACACTCTATGCCTGACCTCCTTGCATTAGTTGAAATCTGGTTCTTTTCCCAAATATAATTCCCTCCTCTTTAGGGTTTTTAGAAATGTCTTTTAATTTGCTTAAGCCTCGTATTATCTCATGCTTGAAAACATCCTACTTTTCTATCGCAGCTTCCAGAACTTTATTACCATATCTTCACATTCTATTTTTTAAATAAAATCAAACACTGTTATTTTGAGGGCTAAGCACTTGATTATATTGCTATCTCATTGTTATTTTGTTATCAACCTCATAAACATCACCTCCTCCCAAAGTCACTGAAGATTGTAGCACCTTCAGTCACTTTGTTTTTTCTCCATTCAGATTCATTCCACCATCTTAGATGAGTTCAACATTCACATGAGCAAACCAACCAATAACTGGACTTCTGAGCTTTTTGAGTTTCTTATACCTACAGTGTTCTTTTACTATAATCCACCTAGGCCATCATCATTCTCCTCAACATGAAATAGATGTTGGTGGATTTCAATAAATTTCTCTTTTTGATTCAGTCAGTGACAGTCTCTGTTACTGGCAAATATGAACACTAACTGATGAATATGGTTGCAGCGTGGATTTGTTGTTTCTTACAATTACTTTATTTGTAAAACCACTAATTTAAGTGTGCCAAATTTTGACCACAATCTCCTATCTTTTAAGATTTTTAATTCAATCAGTATTATTATCACCCTTCTTCAGCTTTAGCTGAAACTCTAGCCATTGATACATCTACCATTTCCTTATTCACCAATGATTTTTTTGTCTCTACTTCCCTTCCTACTGATATTTATTGGTAACCTATAACATGTTGGACACTGTTATAAATACTAAGTGAGTTTAGAAACTCACTTTCTTTCCAATAACTTGGATTCTCTGGCCCTTTTCTCTTTTTCATCTGAGTTATCTTACAAAACTCTAAACTTAGATGAACAAAACCATCTGTTCTCCCAATATCTGCATCTGGGAAGCCAGAAATGTTGCAGATGAGTATACTACAAAGCCAACTGATACCATCAGGTATGAATATTTTCAACGGTACTTGGAAAACATATATATATATATATATATATATATATATATCCATATTGCTTTCCTACCTTTTGCAATAATGATTCAAATCTGCATTCCTTCCAAATCTCCCTACACCAAACTTCTACCTTCTATATATGAACATGCTTCCTACCACACTAAAAAAAGGTACAGATAAAAATATGGGAAATTCCTTAATATCTTAGTAAACAATTGCAGATCTACCTGTATCTACACAAAATCTATTAACTCTTCAATATTTTTTAATAACAGAGATAGGAAAAAAATTTACTCCTATCTAGTTTAATCCCATTACTCCTATCTAAAAGTAATTTTTCCACTAGCTTGTGAACTTATTTCCCCCTGCCTTTTCAAGAACCATTCCACTTTTCATGAAACACATTATGACATTGTTTTTTTGGTTGCTACACTCTCGTTTTTGCTATACCCTTTGTCATCATTCACCTGAGTCTCTTCTAGAAGTTCATAATTAGTTGGATGTTTGGTGTCACTCAACATTCTTTTGTAATTCCCCTTTCTGTCCTATGCTTTTCTCCCACCTAACATAATCTTAAAAACGTCATTGTATTTATTACTATATTTTATGCTGTTAAATTTATATCTGCAGATGAGCTCTTTTCTTTAAGCTTGAGGACCAAATATCTAACGCCTACTTGAAATCTCTACTTGAATGTCTCCTCAAATGTATCCCAAACCAGTCTTCTAATCTTTACTTGCAAAACTGTTCCTATTTCTGAGTTCCCCTTCTATTCAAATGTGCAAGCAAAAATAACCTATAAATTATACTTCACCGCTTTGTCTCTCACCCCATATCTAATCCATTATTTAATCTAACTTATTTTGCTTTTTACACCACCTTCAAATCTGTCTATATTTTGCCATCATGTGCTATCCTGTCACCATCTCAATCCAAACTACTAGCATAACTTGTCCAAAATACCACAATAGTGTTAATTACTCTTACCCCTTCCATCCAATATTCATAAAATATAAGCATGACCATGTGCCTCTTTGGCTTAAAACTCTAGTATTTCCAATTGCTTTCAGGCTAAACTATAAACCCCTACAAAAGCTCTTCAGTGGCTCATGCCTATAACCCTAGCACTTTGGGAGGCTGAGGCAGGAAGAACGCTTGAGGCCAGGAGTTCGAGACCAGCATGAGCAAGAGCAAGACACCATCTTACAAAAAAATAGAAAATTAGCTGGGCATGGTCATTCACACCTGTAGTCCCAGCTACTGGGGAGGCTGAGATAGGAGGATCGCTTGAGCCCAGGAGTTTGAGGTTGCAGTGACCTATGATAACACTA